GTCTGTACTGTAAATCGAGCTGTGGATTTCCAGTACTGTAGGGCTGGGCTGCGACACTGCTGAAACTGTGGGAACTAACTTCCCGTCATGGTCATTTGTGGTCTCAGGGAATAATTATGGTTACATATATTTATATGTGCGGCTGAATATATTTATCTAAAACAATATTGAAATGCTTAGATGATTCAGAGAGTGTGTGAAAGTTGTTTATGTTCTGCGGCCGCTACAGTGGTTGGCTGGGCTTGACCTGTCGTGTCTAAGGGTGTGTGTCTGCATGTGCGTCTGTGTTTCTGCAAGTGTGTGTGTGAGTTTCTCAAGGCCAAGAGTTGGCATATTGCTCAGCGTGTGGGACGAGGTAAAAATACAACTCGGATATACTGCTCTCAGCTCAGCTGTCGCAAACAATCGGCCTCTCTATGCGTGTGTGTGTGTGTTAGCTCTCCAGGTGTATGTGTTTAGCAGAGGGTCCCTTATTGGCTGCACATCTTCACTGAACAATGCTCACTTTAGTCTGTGTAACAGCTTTCACAACGTTGTGTTGTAATTGTTTTTTTTCCTGTGAGATATAGTATGACAAAGAATCTACAGAGAAATAAAGAAAAGTCTGAGAATCAACAGAAAATTGCTAAATGACAATGAAAAAAGAAATTGCCATGCTGGCGCCGTTGCAGCCACAAAGCTACAAGCAGAGACGTATGGAAGTCATTCTGAATGACGGACAACCACGGAGGCTAAGCCAATAGTATTTAGGGCTGTTTGGTCAATATTAAATCTTATGTCTACTTCTGCACCCCCTACAGTGTATTTTTATTCTTAGAAAACACAACAAGAAACCCTTGAGAACCTCTGAAGTGGAATCTTGTTAAGTTTTATATAGAGGTCAGAAGGTATGTGCGAACGGGACCGACTTTGGTTCTTGCGACAGTACATCTATAAATGAACACTTGCTCAACCTGCTATTATGAAAATGATGTTTTCACTTTTTTGGGGCTTGGAAAATCTGTGTATGTGTGTGTGTGTGTGCATGAGTATTTACTGGATGTGTTTAAACTTTGTTCAGCACCGTGGTTTAGGGCTTTGAGGGCTAAATTAAACTGAACTGAGGTCAGGTGTGAGATATGTCATATATTACAGAGGGAATAGTATTTCTGCCTGAATTATGTTTACCTGCGACATTTTGTTTTGAAACCACTAAGTGTGATGCACCTGCTGTATGTATACAGCAGGTTCGAGTTTGCATCCTGCATGACGTGTTGTTGAGTCCAGACAACTTAATCACTCTAAGATTAGGGAATAGTAATTGTCTTGGTTATGGAAAAAGTAAAAGCCTATCTGGGTGAAGCTTAATTTAGTTTATTAATTATGAGAATGAGCGCATGACATTACGCATAAACACAAAAATATGAAGCCTAACACAATGATGTCCACTGCTTATTTACTATGCAGTGCCGTTTATTACGATACA